GTTAGAGATAAGCATAAATGGTATTGATATTATCGTGGAATTATTTAATATTCTCACATAAACAATAGAGTAAGAGATAAACATAAAAGTTAAACACGTGTGTAATACTTGTTTTATTTTGACCTATGTGATTTTTGTAGGTTAGCGATAAGCATAAAAGGTTATATGTTATCTCAATAATGCCTTCAATATGAACTGTTATGATGAAATGTAGATATTGAAATTAACTATGTTTACAAACTCTACATTATTTGCATTGCTGCTAGTGTCATATGTCTATGGACTATATTTAAATTATTAAATACATTTTCTTGCATGCATAAGCATGTTACAATCTAGTTAATAATGTCTTATACATGCATGACTTGAAGTAAACATCATCAAGTAGGTGCGCAAAAGACAAAAGACATGACTCAAACATGTAGAGGCAAGTTTATATTTATACAATATTAGCTTCACTTTATCAAGTTTTCATACATTATTTTTAAAACCAACAAATGTTGATAACTTATGTTAGTCTTGTTTCCTTTGTCAAGTTTATATTGAATTATTTTTAATATTATATTCCACCCACCTCCCCCCAAACAAAAAGAAAAACAATATTGGAGTAATAATCTAATTCATTTATCACAAAAAACGTATTTATAACTGTTTTTGTTTTCTTAAGTTTTTCTTTTTGAGAATGATGAAAACAGAAGAAATTGACTTAGAAGGTTATATATATATATACATATCAATAAAATCGTAGGTAAGAAGATAAATCGAAAAAGATATATCCTGGATAAATTTTAGACTATATATATATATATATATATATATATAAAATCGTAGATTATTATTAGTATTTTAAGCAAGTCTATATATATAATCTATGTGTATGTATTGCCTTTGTTCGGGTCAGTCTTTGTTCGTTTTCTGATGATGTTGTGAACAATGTCACTATTGATTTTCCCTCGAATTATGTTCTTCACAACTTAAAGGTCCTTCACACACAAATCTGTCAGTTAATCTGTACGTCTGCCAAAAAAAAAAGGATGTCGGCATTAGATATTGGATAAACTAAACAAAAAAAAGACTGTAGAAGGAACCGAGAGTATGAGATTGAATGTAATACATTGAATGCATTAGAAATATATGATATTTATAGGGATATGATTAATATCCCGTCGAATTCAACAACTATCCGATTTTTTTATTCTGATATGATTAATATCCCGTCGGATCCTATCCGATTTACTTGATTATGCTATGATGAGTTGGCAAAAATATGTGGACAATTTTGATGCAATATGTAGCAATTAATAATTTTGTGAACAAATAAAAACCTACAAAATCGGATCATATATCTGTTGGTAAAAAAAAAGAATAATTGCCAAACAAATGTGAAAACTGAAAAGCCGTCAAATCGTCAATTTTTGGAGCTGCCAAAAAAATCTGTAGTTATCGTGGAAAATTGGTAACAACAATTCATATATAAAATTAATCAAAATCCTAGCAATATAGTTAACAAAATCCTATAACTTTGGTAAGGCAATTTCGATCATATCTTCAAGATTTTGTAGTAATTATTAAATTGTGAATATATAAAATCCCACAGAATCCGATGAATTGGTTAAGAAAATCTGAACTAATTTTGCTATGAGAGATTTATTACTTAAATTAATGATCTTCAAGATTTTGTAGTAATTATTAAAATTTTGAATATATAAAATCCCACAGAATCCGCTGAATTGGTTAAGAAAATGCGAACTAATTTTGCTACGACAGATTTATTACTTAAATTAATGATCTTCAAAATTTTGTAGTAATTATTAAAATTGCGAATCTATAAAATCCCACAGAATCCGCTGAATTATTACTTAAATTTAATATTAACGCGTGGGGCCCATTGGTGTTACTTAAATTAGTAAGTCAAAATATTTTTTTTCAAGTCAAACATACTATTTTTGTATTTTTCCAACAACCTCTTTATATTACTATTGATTTGGAGTAGAAACATTTTTGAATTTTTTTGAAGTTGGTGTTTTATTCCTTTGTGGAAAAAAGAAAAGAATTCTTTTTAATATATTGGTGGTGCGTGACGTGGAGGGTGACGTCACTTTTCCGATCGACCACGTCACTTTTCTGATCGACCATGTCAGCACACCTTGGCAAGAAGTC